GCGTGGTCGGTCGGGACCGGGGCCGGGGGACAGCCGTCTCGGCACCGGGCTCGGCTCATTTCGGTCGAGGGTCTGGTCGCATCTGGCTGGATAACGTGAACTGCACGGGGACAGAAGCCACCCTCTCTGAATGCCAGGCCAGGCCATGGGCATCCAACAGCTGTGGCCACTGGGGAGACGCCAGCGTGGTGTGCTCAGGTGATCCACATTAGTCAGGATAAGTACCGTGCGGGCTGGGGTGCGGCATCAGCTCAACCGTGTTCCAGGTAGCCAGGGATGGGTGCCTTTACCCCACCTTGGTTTAAAAAAAATAGAATTAAATCAAGAGAAGGGTATGAATGCCACAGTGGGCGATGCTCTTCCCTGAGTCAGCACAGGCTGTGAGACCCCAGCATGCTCTTTAGGATGATTTTGTGTAGGAAGAGCAAGCCCTTCTCCTATCTCATCCCTTTCCGATAGCTCTAGCTACACAAATTCATTGGGCAATGCGTCCTACCACCTCCCATAGTCAATGTTGACCCCAGGACCCTGTCACAGTCACTGTTGACCCCAGGACCCTCAGCACCCTCCCATAGTCACTGTTGACCCTAGGACCCTCAGCACACTCCTATAGTCACAACTCTCTCCAGGACCCTCCTATAATCACTACTGACCCCAGGACTCTCCCATAGTGACTACTGACCCCAGCACCCTCCTATAGTCACTGATGACCCCAGGAACTCCCCATAGTCACTGTTGACCTCAGGACCCTCCCATAGTCACTCTTGACCCCAGAACTCTTTGTCAGGCTCCAAGCCCAAAGCTCTGGAGCTGTGACCCTGCTTTGTCCACCCCAATGAGAAGCAAACACCAAAGAAAAGCCCTGTGCAGCACCTTGCCCAGGCAGCCAGCGACTGTACGTGTGGAGAGATGCTCTGATTTTCCTGCAGCTTAGCACGTTGCAAAGCCCCACTGGAGCTGTGGCGGATGGTCAGGCATGAACGTGTCCCTTGCTCCCTTCACAGACGTGAACACTTCGAGGCAGCAACCAGTGCGGCTGGTGAACGGCTCGAACAGCTGCCTGGGGAGAGTCGAGGTCTTTCATGACCAGAAGTGGGGGACCGTGTGCGACGACACCTGGGACCTCCACGATGCCGCCGTCGTGTGCAGGCAGCTGGGCTGCGGGATTGCACTGTCAGCACCGGGCTCAGCTCATTTTGGGCCAGGGTTAGATCCCATCTGGCAGGATGGCGTTCACTGCACAGGCACCGAGTCCGCCCTCACCGAGTGTGAGCTGGGTACCTGGGGACAGCATAACTGCGGCCACAGCGAGGATGCTGCTGTGGTGTGCTCAGGTAACACCGGGCTGCGAGGACCACAGTGGGTGAGCCAGGAGGGTTGGTGGCCATCCAAGGGGGAGCTTGAAGGATGCTGGACCTGCTGTTCTACCCCAGGGCTGTGCCAGGCTCTCTCCTCTCTGCTCACTCCTCCCCATCCCCAGCGTCAGAGCAGAAATCAGCTTTCACCCAGCCACTTGGCTTGGAGTTGAGCAAAAATGCCATGCTGCCTTGGACAGGAGTTGTGTGCCTAACTCATACTGATTTAATCTAGACTATGTCCCTCTAGGTCATCAATGACAGCATCCTGAGATGGGCAAAGCCTTGCTTAAAAGATGATAATCCAGGCGTGCCTTTCCTAGGCACA